CCGAAAATTGCACAATGTTGCAAAACGGGGCGTCGTGCAACAATGTGCAATTTTCGGGAGCGACTCGCGGCAACAAAGTTGCAAACCCGGTTACGCGTTTGCAACAATGTGCAATTTTCGGGAGCGACTCGCGGCAACAAAGTTGTAAACGGGGTAACGCGTTTTGTTGTATGCAGTACTTTGTACGCAAAACATTGCCACAAGCATTTACTTGAACACTTGTGTTCAAATGAAGAAGTGCTAAGCCACATTTTCAACTTATTCATCTATGGATAATGCAGCTTGTACGAAAGCATCTGTATGGAAAATATATGCATTAACCGTGTTCCTGATTATGTCGCTGATTTTAGAAGGGACACTCGGCAGAAATTTAAGGGAGGTCTCAAATAAACGTGGTGTAAAAGAGAGCAAAAATCGACGTAGGGATGAAGCTGTTATTACACGCGATGTAATAAATTCTCGTATAAATCGAAAATAACGGGTGGGTATTTATTACGAAAATCGACTCTAAATTTAATTAAGACGGTATACTATTAAGGCACTCTAATAACGGGTGGGCATTCTGCACGAGTAGTGGCACACTCGGCAATCGAATTCGGATTTGGACTCAAAATTTTCACGCACACTTCTTGGCCTTGACTTAGCAATATCTACAAAATGTGGGTGACTGTGAAATGGGCGCACGCGAAATGTATACGAAACGCGATTTATTTAAATTTTGTTTAATAGTGGAAACTGAATTTAAATAGAATACGCGTAAAAAGTTGAGAAAGTATGAAATAAACAAATATAAAGTATAAAGAAAGCAAAAAAAAAAAAAAGAAACCGCGAGAATTCATATCTTTCTCGATTCTATGATATGAGTTCTTGATCAAATATACGACGATAATTGGAGGGAAGTAATCGGGAAAAAATTAGATAGAAAGCGGACTAGGGATGAAGCTATTACAATACGCGATGCAATGATTATATTATAGTATTGATCCAAGTTAAAGAAATTCTCATATGTATTCCGGAAATAGATTATTAATTACGATAAACTAGTTCGACGTTTTAATTAAGGGTGGGTATACTGCACGAGTATTGTGGTACTCGTAGCAGTCAAGTTCGTTTACGAACTAGGGGCAATTCAGCTCCTATTTGAGCTCAGAACATTCAACAACAAACTACTTAACCAAACACCGAAAAAATACCATTTGTGCAACTCACTGTTTGCAGATGAAACATTTGGACACTGTAATTCCTTGCAAACAGCTGGGCAGTACAATTTCTCGTCTACCTTTGAATATTAGTTTAGAAAATAACTAGTGACAAAACCAATTGAAAATTATCTCCTCAATAGCGGAGAAAAAATTAGAAAAATTAAAAAATATTTCTAAATTAGTTTCAATAGCTACAAGAGAAGTATTACATATTATTGATTAATAACAATAGCAGAAATTATGAAATTCTTCATTGGATATTTTATAATTAAAAGCAAATAGATCAACTTCAAATGCAAGAAATAGGAAGTGATAAATTAAAGGACAAATGAGTTCGCGAAACATCGACGCTTCCTTATACATACTATACATATAGGGTCAACGACCTCTCCTCAAAGACGCTAGCGAAGACGTCAGCAAGAGCAGGAGAACTTCAGTAATTATCCTTAAAGAATTTCATTTTTCTATTATAATACCCTATAATTTATTAACTTTTACAATTTCATTATAAATTCATATTCTCGACAATTTGTCGAGACACTACACACACTATATATTATAATTTATACATTTTTAGATGCAACTTTCTTCAATAAAAAAGCTACATTTTAACGTTCTCATTACTTACTCGTGGTTAAATTACGTTAGTAACGATTGAAAATCAGGTTGAGAATAACCGTAGTAAAGGTAAAATTATTATCTCAAATAATTTCTAACATAAATCAGAAGTTTATTTAATATTTGCTTCTCGTAATACCATGAAACAATTTATATCGTACATTTTCTCTGTTTGTACGAAATCTATAGTTAGTAATAATTAAAAATCAGGTTGATCTGTGGTCATCGAATGCAAAATAAACATAGTGAAGGTAAGATCATTATGTTAAATAACTTTTTCACATAAATCAAACGTTTCTTTCTTGTAACACCGTTAAATAATTTATATTATAGATTTTCTCTATTTACACTAAATTTACAATTCTATTTACACATTATCATAGTTATATCTGTACACATTTTGCTGCACCGCGTTATTTTCTCTGTGAATTCTGTAATTTTATTATTAGAACACATTTGAGTATCAAATACATAAACAAATTTCTTACAAACACTGTAACTTAATTCTTACAAATTTGAACTTATTTTTAAGTATAAATATGTTTCTCCCCATTTAATTACATACATAAATATGCTTCCTTAACGAGTTTATTTTATATAACCTTAAAGAACAAGAAATTACAATTTTAAATCCTACTCTTACATATCAAAGCGTGAGCTAAAAAAAAAAAAAGTACCGAAACATTCCCAAACAAGTCCTGAATGTGCTACAACTCGGTCACAACGAGCGTTTTACGTTCGACTGGCCAGTAGTCAAAGGGTTAATTTTCTCTCCCTACAAAAGATGCAGAAAAAAAAAAAGGGAAAAAACCACTTCGACCAACTCAAATACTTGTATCTACTACGTTAACCCTTTCATTGCTATTGGCGTTTTGAAAATTTGCTCGAGCTGTACTGTTGGTGCCTTTCGGTACACTTCCACCTTAATTCAGTAGTTACACTCGCGGCAAAAAGTTTCAGACTACCTGGCAATTTACACTAATATTGAATCTGCTAACTAATTCTTTACACATTTAAAATTGACGTTGTGGAGATCAATAGCAGTCTACACTTCGTTCCGATTGATCTGAGTAATGAAAAATTCGTTAAAAAATTCTGAAATTCGTAAAATTTTACACTTAAACTTTAATACTAAACTTTTTTTCTCCTGTAGTACAATTTTATTCTTAACGTTAATTTAATTAATCTTAACACTAGGTTTACGGGACGCGTCATTTTGACGCATTTCGAATTTCGCTAAGAAAATTAGGGAAACCGTTTTCATTTCTCTCCTACCACTTATGCTTATTATAAATTTTATAGAAATATATCGTTCATATTATCATACATTTATAAGTTAACAGTGTATAATATGTTGTTTTTAAAGAAAATACGCGGTTTCATTCACACGTATCTGTAGAGACATCGTAAACTTAGTGTTAATTTAACAAACCGAATTTCAAAACGGCACGACAGAAACGATAAAAATTTACCGTCTGCGGCACACGTTACGTATTGAAATCCTGCCGCAGCGAAGAAGTGGATTAAAGACCATGCACAAGTGGATTTCTTTCTCAATTTTCGTCGGCATTCAGCGGGACGTTCAATCGTCTCGTTAAGCTCGCGCCAGCTCGCTTGCAATGGTAACGTGCACGCAACTATTCCGCGAGATTCCGTTATCCGCCATTAATCCCGAAGCCACGGTGCCGATTGATTTATATCGTAATCGCGGCGGTGTACGATTTCACGACGTGAAGAAAAATACTCGTTCGGTCCCCTCGTACGATCCGTGACGCTCGAGCGCCGGTAATCATCATTATCGCGTCGCGTAATCTGAACGCCGGAGCCTTTCCCATCAGATATGTACGTAGACGAAATCGTGTACATACACGTGAACGAGGGGAAAAAAGAAAAACTCTTGGTTCCATGCAGGTACAGCGATAATCCGAGATTACAGGGAAATCAGCGCGATCATAGTCATAAGTGATTCCAAGGTTTCTTCGTTCGAACAGGGACACGCCTTTCGATACTATCACTTTGCGTCTTTTTTTTTTTTTTTGTTATTTACTCTTTATGCGTATTTTTCTGACTTTGTATCGAGTAAACGTGGATTGAAAAGTGTTTGCTGGTAAATAGAAGTCGTAGGTGTGGTTCAACACGTTCTGTACGGAAGGAGAATTACAGGAATTGTAGATTTTTTGCGGAACTTTGAAACGAAGTTAAACAATGGTATTAAAATGTTTAATTGTAGAAATATGTCGATTGAATTCTTGACACTTTAATATTCGTTTGCACGTATCTTGCATGAATATTATTTTCTGTTTGATGAGATTACTATTTCTGAAAATTGTGTGGTAATGGCTTAAAGACAGATATCCGTACTTAAGGATTGATAATTACTATGTCCGAAATATGTTCGTGAGTTAAGTTACTGATACATATGGCGTTAATTAAATCAGTTTCTTTGTTGGTAGAATTGAAATAGGTACTTTAGATGTAGAAACATTGTAGACTAGAGATAATGATGGTTAATATTCTAGATTGACGATTTATAACTAGCTCCAATGGTAAAGTATTTATATTCGATGGTCATTCCCCAAATGCAGCTTAAACTATATTAAAATCCCAGTTTAATGTTATTACTAAAATAATTTCGTTATCTTTCAATAGCAACGCTGTTAGAGCTTCTTTTAATAAAGTAAAATTAACGAGTTTGTAAACCCACTTTTAGAGAATTATTCAGTTCCCAACACTGTGTAAAATATTCCCCCGACTTTATAAATTCCTAGATCTCGTTTAACTCTAAAGTAATTATAATAGAATCTAAATTGTGTGTTCTAGATTACTGTACACTCTTATTGAAACAAATACCCTAACTCAAACTTATCCACAACCAAACTTCACATTCAACATTCATCAATAATATCTCAAAATACCCAATTCACAATTTCCACAAACAAACAAAAATCCCTAGCCTTCTAAAATACCCGAAAAACTACTCAAACCTCACAAATGAATTAAAACAAACACTCAAACCTCTTCACAACCACACTTCATCAACATTCAACAATAACATCCCAAAAGTATCCAATTCCCGCTAACAAAAAAATCCCTAGCCTCCCAAAATACCCGAAAAAACTACTCGAATAAAAAAGAAGAAAATACGCGTAGACGAAGCTGTTTAGTTTTCCCTTCAAAGTAATGTCGAGCATCGTAAATCTTGTCGGGGAACGATTGCAAAATCAAAAAAAAAAAAAAAAAAAAAAAAAAAAAGATAAAAGACACCCTATAATGTATAACGCTGTACCGATAAAGAGGGGCTAACACGAGGCTTTCGATGTTTTTCTCCCGGCGTCGCGACGCAGGAGAGCGACGGTGGTTGCGATGGTAGCGACGCCGAGATGATCGGTAATGGGAGACGCGGAGGCGGAACGGAAAGGGATCGCGATATGGAGGAGGATGAGGACGAAGGAAGGGAGGAAAGGAGCTCAGAGGGTGGAGGTGGTGGAGGTTTCGGTGGTTGGAGATCCCACTTACTCGGTGGGCTAACTCAACGTGTCAAATCCTGGTACTGGGGCGCCAGGCCCCTCGTAAGTTTTCTATCAAACGAACCACAACACACAAAACGTCTACCACGCACAGATACTTCTCCTTTTTTCTATTTCTTCTTCTCTTTAATTTCCCCTTTTTTTTTTCTTCAATTTTAATTCTCTTTCGTTCTTTCTGATTTTCTTTTCTCGTACTTATTTAACACTCGGTAGGCAAACCGACGAGTCGTTTATCTTTCCAAATCTAATTGTTTTTTTTTCTTAGTGTTCTAGGCGTTCAGAAGATCTGGAAAAATTCTGAGATACTTATCAAAGTCTCTGTTATATCGTACAATTTTTCGTTACGTCAAATGTTTCAAACTTTTTGCAATAAAAATACAAATTCGTCGCGAGGAAATGTTGTTGCCTACAGAGGGTTAAAATTATTTGTCCTTTTTTCTCTCGTTTCTTTTCACGTTTCATTCGACGTCACGCGAAATTCAGAAGCTTCGAACCGTCCGGAATGAACCGTTGAACCGTGTTCACACTATACTCGAGGAGTTTCCTTGAAACTTAAACGGCCACCTTAACGAACCTCGAGTGCGTTTTAAAAGCCTCGGAGCGTTAAAATCTCCAGACTAATGCAAATTTGCAAGTTTCCGTGCTTCTGCCACGTAGATTTTTAAATTTTCCGAGGCTTTTAAGGCTCTTACGACTCTTTGGCGGAAAATTTGAGATTCTCGTCGAGATTTGTGCATGATTTTTTTCTTCCTCGCGATTCGAAGCTTCGAATACGATGAAGAGAGACAGACTGCCCGTTACATGTTTTGTGAAATGGTGAGAAGGAAGGAATTCTCTCTTTTTCTTCAAATTTCCTATCTTTTCTACTTTTTTTTTCTTTTTTGTCTCCAAGGGCGGAAAATAAACCGAGAGCTATTTCTAAACGTTTCCTAATTCTTTAAGTGTTCACGACCGAAGAATAATTTAACATCGTGAGTAAAATAAATTTTCTGAAATTTTTGGTCGAGAATGTTTCGAATTTATCCATCGGTAGCCTCGTTCTTCTAGATCTAACGATAGATAAATAGAATAGCGATGAATTTTCGTTAGAATTAAAGAAATTTCGATAGAAGGTAGTTAGACAATAGTTAGACGAACCGCGGAGCTTATCTGATAAACGTCTCCAAATATTTCAGTTTTCGACAGGTAATAATGGAAAGTTCCAACAGAATTGTCGAGCGAACAGCCTCGAAACTTTAATACTTTGCCCGAGCACACGTTCACCCTGACAAAACGAAACTTTTCCAACAATTTGCAAGATGTGTAATAACGAAGTTTGTGTATTATAAAGTCAAGAAACTACTTCGATTTTAAATACGAAATTTTCTCAAGCAATTAAAGAAAAACAGATATAAAAATTTCGTAATTTTCCAGTCGTAATTTCCAGTAATCTTTGTGTAACAATATTAAAAAAATTGCAATAGAAAAAGGTATTTTTCTTATAGGAAATATACGTGATGGGTAAATCATTTTCAATTCCATTTTGAAGTGAAACAATGTTATCTTAATTTGATCATCTAATTTTCGAGCCATCGGATACGATCATCCCCTTTGGCATGAAATTTCTCTTACAATTAGATCTCTGTCCTTTTTCTTTCTCTTCCACATTAACATATATATCTGTCTGTCTATTTCTATTTACTTCCTTCTCTCTTTCTCTCTGTATTCACCAAAAATCAACTTCCTTTTTTGCTCTTAGAGTTAGTCGAATTTAGTCGAAATAGCGATAGGTGTGTACGTGTTTTTTCTTAGATGTCTTGCACATGCTACTTTCGATTTGTCCTTAACTATATTCAACGCACGACTACTATAATAGAAATAATTCTGGCGTGTATGTATAATTACGACAGTATACTTTAACAGATCACATTCTGTGTAATTATATGCACACGTTGGAATATATGTCAAAGTGTATTTTACATAGATGTCTTGGCATGCACGATCACTTTACTCACATCGAAAAAGAAAAAAAAAAAAGAAAGATATGAAAAGAAAAATACAGTATAGCGATAGTCGCGATTCTCTTTTCTTTCGTTTAGAACATTGGCTCGTAGAGGTAAAAATCGTGTGGTAAAAATGTAGAGAATAATATAGATGTTCGTTTCATCCTATTCGATTACCGTAGAGACCGTGTATTAGCGATTAGAAACGTGCAATCGGATCCTCCGTGATCGTAGACGACCGATAGAATGACACGGTAGAGTTCACCAAAGAGGAACTCGTAGGATGAAAGTCTCGATCGGTAATAGGACGCCATCGATGACGGTAAATCAGCAGAGAAAGCGTGGACAGGAGTTTTCACCGAACAAGGAAACCTGGGTGAGACCGGAAAATCAATGAAAGGCTCACCGATGTGTTCTTTTTAATTGGACGTTGATCATTTATTAATCGTTCTGTTTCGATTTTTAGTTTTTCTCGAATTTTTACATTAATACTCTGTCATTCATAAGTATTCGTTGATTTTTTTTTCAGTTCGATTATTAAAAATTTACTCGTTGCAGATTTTCGAGGTAAAATTGTTCTGGAATTTTTGTATCGATACTGTATCACTTTATTCGTCGAGTTTTGTTTTAATTTGTGCGATTATTAAAAATTTACAAATTTTCGAGATAAAATTGTTCAAAGGAAGGTAAATATTTGTGAGAGATAGTATAAATACATTTTCCTTTTCTCCTTATCGTGGAATAATTATTGGACGTTTATTATAAATTTTCAGTTTGTTTGTTCTTGTTAACACGTTGACTGCCCAGAGTTTCGTGTTTCACGCCGCAATTGAATACTCCCGGAGTCTCGTTTTATTTGTATTATTTATAAGGAAAATTATTAGCCGTTTGTGAAATTATATTTTACCTAAAATATTTGTGGAATTATTTAGCTCGACGGGATGAACCTTTTCTTACAAAAAAATAAAATAATCGTATTAAAATTAAGAAGAAATATTCACCATCATTCAGGATCGAATAAATCTTAATTTTTCCAATTACAGTTACATACATTTAATATACACTTTACATTATTACTCAATTAATTACCTAATTCAGAATTACATTCTTTTTATTTTTTCCATTTATAATCGCATACACTTGAAGTAGGCACATTTTATTCCACATTTTTATCTAGTTATTTGTGTTATTTAAAATCACATACGTGTCACTGTTTATTATCCACATTTTCACGTTATTCAGAATTTCAGTTCAACGATGTTAAAAATACTGCAAAAAATTTCTATCCTAAAAGAATTCTTAAGCGAACGACAATCAGTTCGACAACAATAGTTTCAATTCTTTGAATACTTTTTAAAACTGCACGCAAGCAATATTGGAAACAAAATATGGACGATATTATTTGCAGTATCTTTGAAGTAAAAAATAATACAAACAGTATTGAAAAAAAGAATATGGACAATAATGTTTGCAGACTCCCTTTAAAATCGAAATTTACGTACAATTAATATAAAAAATGTACATACTGGCAATATTATTGATCACACGGAGGCGTCTTTGAAGTGACAAATGGCCGTCGCGGCAGTCGGCGTGTTAATTTTCGATTATTTCGGACACACAGCGATCCAGATGAATTCGGTTCGATCTGGCCCGGGTAGGCGGAGAAATTCGCGAAGAAACGCTCGATCTCGTCGCACGTCCGCGAAACACTTTCACCGATTCACGGTTTCTCCGCGAAACTCGCCTCGCGAACTCGCTTCGATTTCCACGCTTGTCAACCGTGACCTACGGACCCGAGCCGCCAAAACGTCCATGCTAATTAATAGAAATTCGACTCGCGCGGATTAAGAGAATTCCGAAAGGCCGTCGATCAGATCTAGGAGATCCAGAAACTCGCAACGAGAACCGATCGGGACCGTTCAACGAGGGCATTAACATTCGAGAGACCCGCGAGTCGACTCGCCTCTTATACAAGGTGTGCAAGTAATTGTGATATGACTTGAAAAAGAAATTGTGATTCCACGAGAAAAAAGACATTTTTGGAAGACAAGATTTCCTTTTCGAATAAAAAAATATCACTCTGGAGAAACTAAATTTTTAACTACTGCGCCACGATTTCTGGGACACCCTGTATAGAAGAGGGGAGAAATAACGGAGTTTGCCCGGGAAACAGAATTTTCGCGAAATAGTCGAATTTTAGGAAATTTTGGAAAAGGTTCGTAGTTACTAATATCGAGAAGTTCCACGAGGAATTTAGACGATCATGATCATAAATGAAAAAAAAAACAGTATCATACATTTGTCTCATGGTTTATCGTTCTTTTTCTCGCACGTCACAGTTCTGTGAAATTGCGAAGTTTTTTTGGTTAGAAGAAAAAAAAAAAGATGATCGTGCAATTTCTGCGACACGTAAGTTCGATTGGAATGAATTTCAAAGATTGAAATAATCGCGACAAACACCACCACTACCACCACCACCACTCTGTCCGAGCACCACCAAACACCCAACTGCTACCAGCCTATCAGCAAGCATGAAACTTAATTTTTTAATATACTCTTGTGATACCTATATCGATTATAATATACAGAGTGTCTCACCAATTCTACCCCCTTTAAATATCTCCGTTATTTCAAGTGACAAGGGAGAAACATTACTCGCGAAAGTTTTACGATTGCAAGAAAGACATATCGTGGTTGCGATAGTTTTCTTTTGCAGACGGAGGTCAATTATATTCTTCAAATGGAATTTTCCATTTTTCATAGTCAAGTTAGATTGAATAGCGAATCTCCAGTGCAAAGGTATTAAGGTACGTTTATCTTGAAATTCCTGAGATATCACTTTCTGAAATATCATTTTCCCGAGATTTCCTCGAGTACTATTCTGTCTCTCGGATATTATTTCCCTTGCGAGAAATTGTTTTCTTGAAAAATTTGGTGTATAGGGAAACACATCGCACGATATAACGCGAAAGAGTTACTGAAACGATAATACATTTCAATGATTACAAATACAATCGTTGAAAGTATATTTCACAATGAAAATAATAAGGTGGACAAAGTCGAGTATCTCAGGTATAGTGAATTTTAGATTAGGTCTTAAATGTACCTCGGTACATACGTATATGTATACTTTTATACTCAGAATTCTACGAATTCGTTAATCCATCTAATTTGACTATAAAAGAATTGCCCTCCATATCTCCCCAAACTATCGCCGCCATGTTGTCTCTTTCTTGCAACCGTACAACTCTTGTAAGTAATGTTTTCCCTTACTACTCGAAACAACGGAGATATTTCAGGTGAACAGTGTTGGTGGGGCATCTTGTATGCATATACATATATATATATTTTTTTCATTCGCACTCACGTTTCTACACGATGTTGTGTATTACGATATGCATATAGGTAACCGGGAGAGATGTGCACCGTTGTGGAGAAGCGAAGCCCGGTAGGCATTGGAAGTTGGCTGCAGTTTGAGCACCGAGACGAATTTAGCGAAATTTGCAAACGAATTTCTTTCCGATAATCGCGATTATCCTGAGAATGCTGTAAGACACTGAATTACAAAATGATCTATAGTTGCCTGAGGATCGTCTCTCAGTTGACTCGAGAAAAATTCTGTTAACCTAAACGTAACAATTTAAGATTAACACTTTGCACGAACAACGGAGCAATCTGAAACGAGAAATTTCCTATATCGTCTGACGTGAAAGTGCAAAGTGGTAGCGGCGAATATCGAGACACGTTTAACGACAAAGTCTTCATGTCGCTGCTTCTAATCAAGACAGAACAGCGAACATTCTCGTGTAACCAACTTTGCAGACTACCAGAACTCCCTTCGACTACAGCGTGCACACGAACTCGTCAGCATCAGCCTCCTTAGCTCTTGTGTGCTGTCATCGTGCGTGTTCGGAGTGACTTTGACGGACTTTGTGACGGCGGCCGTGTTTCAAAGCTAGACTAAATCCGAGGAAAAGGAAGAACATTTTTTAACTCGAAAATCATATACCGTATTTCTCTGAGACCTTTCGCATGTTAAAAGTGAAGTTGAAAAAGAGAAGAAACGTAGAAAATATCTTCATCGACGAGAATTTTCTTGGAAATTCCAAGTATTGGACGAGTAACGGTGGCTGTCACAATACCGCAAGGTCGACCAAAAGCCAGATCAGGCGTGCAATTTCCCATAAAATGTAGCTCTGCCCGTTTCAGGAACTCGCGCACAAGCTCTCACGGAGCTTTGATATGCAGGAAGCGCAACTTCTTGAGGAGGGCGGCTCTGGTGGCGCGGCAGCTGGGGCTGGAGGTGCCGGTGGACCACCTAGAAGGCATCACAGTGCTCAAAGACTGGCTAGAAGCGAACTATCCGAGAGAAGAGAGGAAGATGGTGCGTTGGTGGTACCTGATCATCAGGGTAACCTGAGGATCACCGTGAAGAAGACCAAGTCGATTTTGGGGATTGCCATTGAAGGTGGTGCTAACACCAAGCATCCGCTGCCCAGGATCATTAATATACATGTAAGTTTATGATTTATCGATTTATTCACGCGTTTCGTGTTACCGGAAAGATACCAGTTCTGGTCAAATTTGGTAACTGTAGGATCGCCAGCGTTTCTTGAGAAACGAACGGCGAGGGCAATGAAAGCTCGGGTAGGGAACAGATCCTATTCGCGAGGTCTCGACGAAGCGCGTTAGTTTCAACCCTTTCACAGTCTAACAATATTATGAATTACGGTAAAAAGGAATTTAGATTTTACGCGTATCTTTTTAACGGGCACGCCGTGAGTGATCATTTTTAAAACACGTAGTTATTTCTTTCTAACTTCCCTCTTAAGAGTCTCTCTCAGGATAAACTGTCGAAGGGTTAAGTTAGTTTTAAGCGTTACAGGAAAAAGCCAAAGGCAAGGGTGTGGAACAAGTATCGGTGTGGGGTAAGATTTGGAAGAGAGGAGACTTTGGGTTGAAAGCGTGGAAAGAAAGATTGTGTGTGGAAACAGCGTGGTTTATAGTTAACGTAGACACTTAGTTTTTGTTTCATTTCTTGCCGAACCTCAATCACAGGTCCAAGAAAATCCCACGTAACGAAAGTAACGGATTGAAAAAATTATATCGTTAATAAAACTAGAGGTAATTACTTGGAAAGCGGACGACATAAATGTATGTTGTAAAAATCAACATTTTAACACGTTAAGCACCAAGCCTGTTTTGCCTTCCTTTCCGTTTAGCCCGCGATATCCGATTTTACCGATATGCTGGCGGCCGGAGATCTGTGTAAGGTTGCGATAAGACTGCGTGTGTTTTATAATTCTCGTTAAAATTTTTTTTTGGTAACAAGTAATATTTAGGTGCATTTTTTTATGATCTCTAAATTATTTAAAATTTATTTAGTTCGGACTGACGCGGTCCGAACGAAAAGTATACTGTCAGTCACCGGCGACTGACATAGCGCTCAACGTGTTAAACAACTTTTTCCTATATACCAGACTCTCTTAATTTTGTAATATAAAATAGGAACTTTCATTTTATACTATTTAGAGTCCTGCAGCCCTTCTGATCGAGTCGGCACAGAAAATTATTGATTGCGAATTGAATTCACTAAAGCCCGATCGTGATACGCACGAAAGTGGATTAAAACGTCGAGAATTCAACTCACCGAAGTATTTCCATTGAAATTATACTTCGATATAATTATTAATTTAATACGATTCCTATTGAAATATTTCAGTGAGTTGAGTTCTTCACATTTTTATCTACTTTTGTGCGTATTTTGTTTGGGCTTCGAATCCAATAGTACTCCTTTTCGCCTAATGGAAGTTCCATTTGTAAAAAAAAAAAAAAAGTATCGTATACCATTGATGGTACGCGCTGAATTTTCCATTCAGGCCTTTTGATACTTTGAGAAATCATGCATATATAGAGTGGTTACCACATCGTGCACTATATTCTACAGTAATTCTGGATGTTTCTATTTAATTGTAATTTATTTAAGTAAAAACTAATTTGCTTCGTTCTATACTGCATTTTCTTTATTTCGAGACTAAAAATGGAAATTTGGCAAGAAACGTGTTAATTTCATTAACTGGAATATTTTTAGGTGTACATTCACATTTTAACCGTTTCGTTACCAAGGATAACTAGTCTTTCTTCAAAGTTTCGGAATATTCGTTTGCTAAATTATGTGTACTTACACATAAAATTTTATAAGGAACATAAGACTATTTCGAAGCACTCTAACAACTTTCTAAATGACATTCACTATTTTTTATCAAATTCGTTGTCTTTTAACTTTCAACACATGTCGAAATGATTCAATACTCAAATATCATATTCACACTTGGCAACAAAGTGAATACTAACTTACAATAATTTCAATTCCCCTTCTCACATGTATAAACAACAAAAAGTCACTAATTTGTAAATTCGATAACTTGCAAAAATACGAACTTTGCGTAACAAAAGGGTTAAACAAGTTCTTTACATAAAATCGTTACACACGTACAAAGTGCTTATCATTATGATATAATACATTCACAGGACAATGGAGCAGCGTTCGAGGCAGGTGGTCTCGAGGTCGGTCAGCTGATCCTAGAAGTGGACGGTCACAAAGTCGAAGGTAATTTCGCTGCAGTTCGCCCATCGAGGCGAGTCAGTAGAGATAAACAAACGCACGTGGTCGAGACAGGAGAGTATTCACAACCTTCAGACACTGTAACACTAAATCCGAGAAATCGAAACAAACCCTAAGATCGACCCATGTAAATTTCCTCCTGAACTATCGTTCGTCAATCGACAGTTGCTTAGCACGCGAATCTTTTGTTTACCTCTACTGACTCGACTCGTTGAACTAATACTAAGAGTACTAATGTACCATATTGAATCTGTTCACCAGGTCTCCATCATCAGGAGGTAGCAAGACTGATCGCCGAATCATTCGCGAGACGCGATCGCAACGAGATCGAGTTCCTGGTTGTCGAGGCGAAGAAGAGCAACTTAGAGCCGAAACCTACGGCTCTGATATTCTTGGAAGCGTAGCAGGAATCTCCCACCTCCGAGCCGGAACCACCATAGCCCAAAATGGCCAGAGCTCGACCCCTGACACACTTTGAGCCCCGTCGACGTTGAATCGTCGACGATAGAAGCTGAAGAGACTGTGATAGAAGAAGTAAGAAAGGAATCGTGAAAAGCTCGTGCATCGGTGAAACACCAAGAAGACGGCTGGAAATAATGAGAAACGAGCTTATTATTACTCTTCATCTTCAGCAAAACGCTCTCGATTTCATGGTCGAGCTCTTAGTCAGGTGCTAATTGAACCTGGCCCTGGTGGTGGGATTTTTCTACGAGAAATAATCACGCGAAACGAAAGGAAGATACGAGAAGATGTGTTAGGCGATGAGGAAATCTCGATTAGCGAGTCAATGGGATGAAAATTTGTACGACTGTCCTCGTTGTTTACCGGTTGAAGATAACGCTAGCAAATGTCGTAGCTTTGTATCTTTCGAGCTTCGACAATGCAAGAAGAATGGTGACGATGCAATGAGGAATAAAAAAGGAAGAAATTGGAGGAAGGATCAGATGGAGGGAAGAGTAATGGGAGTACAAAGAGGTATGAATGAATGAAATATGATGTAAGAGACGCTATTGATGATAGACACTTTGTCAGTGTGAGGATAAAAAAAAAAAATATGTTGAAGAAGGAAGAGGGGTTGTTTGTGCCAAAACTAATAGGGATTGTTTCGTGTATACTAATTATGATATACTCTTAATGTTAACCAGATTTAATCAGAGACTCTATTGAGAGGGAAGTGGGAATTTATGGGATCCTAAATGACGAACTTGTGCTAACGTTGCATAATGTTGGTGTTACGCGAACGCTCGTCTTATGGATAATATAAGGGAAAAATACAGACACAATCACGGATGAGGGTTCTCACGTGCGAGAAAAGTACGTGCTTGGATACGAAGCACGTCGCGACTACGTGAGATACGGAGATTCACTGTTGACTAATGCGTTATCGGAGATCCTGACTTTAGTGTCATCGATCGGGGTTTTTGTTGATCGAGTTCCTCGATAGTTTGAGTTACTGTAGTATCGTGGTTGTATAATAATTGGTGTTGTTAAATAGCGATAAAAATGTTTGGTAAATGTTTATTAAATGTTTGGTAAATTATTATTTCGAAATGAGGTTTCTCCTATATAGGGACTGCTTTCCTGTTTGTTCGAGGCTTTCGTTTTAAAATTGAAAAATTCGAAAATGATGAAAACTCGAAAATTCGGATATTCAGTAATTCGGAAATTATGAAAACTCAAAAATTCGGATATTCAGTAATTCGGAAATTCGAAGATTTGAAAATGATGAAAACTCGAAAATTCGGATATTCAGTAATTCGGAAATTCGAGAATTCGAAGATTTGAAAAGCATTGAAAACTCGAAAATTCGGATATTCGTTAATTCGAGAATTCGGAAATTATGAAAACTCGAAAATTCGGATATTCAGTAATTCGGAAATTCGAAGATTTGAAAATGATGAAAACTCGAAAATTCGGATATTCGTTAATTCGAGAATTCGGAAATTATGAAAACTCGAAAATTCGGATATTCAGTAATTCGGAATTTCGGAAATTTGAAAACTATGAAAACTCAGAACTTCGGATTCTCGTTAATTCGAAAATTTGGAAATTTCAGATATCGAAAATTTGAAAATTCGAATGCTTAAAATTTCAAGAAAGTAAGGCAGGAACATACTTTCCACAATTTCACCGACAATGAGTAACTTTCATTGAAGAGTTTCCAAAACCAATTTATCAGAGTCTCTTAGAGCCTTCGACTGCAGATTTTCAAAATTCTATTTTTGCACATAATCTACTTACACTATAAGCGTTCATATTAAAAAAAAAAAAAAGTCAAATAGTAATAAGAGCGGGGGACAAAATCGACGAAAGTCCCGAGCGACCGGAGTCCGCGACTAATACAGACTTATTATGGGAATTGTTGAGGCTTAAACAAAGTATGTTATATATACATATATACATATATATGTGTATATAGTATATGATAATATTATTGACTATCGTAGTGGAATTGCAAGGAAGAAAAAAAAAGGAAACTTGTACCCACCCGATCGGATCTCGAGCGCGCAGCGGACTTCCGGTTGCACTTGCGCGCTCTGGAGCCGCGTGGAGCGCGAAACCGAGAAAATGGAGACGATTCTCTACGAATATGCGAATATTTTCAAACAAGTTACATAAACATAGTGACCGCGTACTTAGCAATGGGCCTGATCGTTCGATTTTTCGAGTGATCGCGGACGATCTACGTGAGAAATAAGGGAAAATCGAAGAAATTGTCGTGGCCAAAAGAAACGTGAAAAAAAAAAAAAAAAGAATTCCATGCGAATCTGAGGTAAGTGTAAAAGAAACGAACGATCGTGAGAAATCGTAATCGTTTGTTTGCATAGTGGATATACGTGTAAATTGTTCAGGGACACGAAAGCGACGATTCTTTCCATTCGAACGAGCGCCATGCTTGAAAAACTCGAGGCCGTATTTTTCATATAATATACCAGAGAGACCTCGCGGTTTTTCACTCGCGTGGATCACGTCGTTTAGGCATTTTTTACGATGAATCATAGACAAGGTGGAAGCGAGATTTTCTAAACGGTGCGTTTGTATCTTTATTGTAATTATCCGATCTCTTTCGAGTTTCTTCAATCGTGGCGCTCGTTCGATCCTCGTTTCTAGACTTTCGTCGCTGTAAAAATCGGGAGAAAGAGGGGAAATTTGTAGGAATGTTAGAACAGCGGTTCCTGTTCATTCTTACCGATAATATTCTTTCGATTCTTCAAACTTTCCAACGAATACGAGAATTTCTTTTTCAATCATTCCTTCGTTCTATCTGTTCATTTTGTTATATGACAGAAAATTCCGTATTTTTTTCCCCTTGATTTGAAGAGCGAAAAATTACACGTGAAATTTCGTAGAAAATTTAGTTTCATTCGACGAACAAATGGAGGATCTCTTTTTAAGGAACTGCTTCGTTAGAGTCGACGAGCCGTTTCGCCAACTATTTATAATGTAATTGTTACCGCAATAATTACAATTTAAACGAGTAGTAGTTGCTAATTATCATTCGTGAGTATTAACGTAGCGACGTTGTTGTAAAAGTAAATGGTTATCGATACGTCTTGTTTAATATCTCTACCTGTTACCAGTTTAAATGTAATTTTACGATAGTAGTGTTAATACGTTGAATGTCGACGAGTCCACGAGCCCGTTCCATCGAATGTCGATGATCGTCCGCGATCGTGCTCGCTTTGAAAACAAAAAA